AGGTACCCTTATCATCATCTAAAGCACAAGGACAAGAATATCAAGGTTAGTTCTTAGTTGTTAATTTATTCTTAGTTGATAATTTGTACTTAATTGATGACAATCAATTCCGATCATGTTTCTTCTTATATTTGTTTTTTTAAAATATTGATAATTTGTTTTTCTTTTTCTACTTTGGAATCATTTTTAATTTTCTAACTTTTGTTCAATTTTTTTTTTTTTTTGAAGTAGAATATGAAGTTATTGCTGAACTTGAGTCAAGGAGAAGGAAAACTTGAAAAGTTTGAAAAGACTTTGACATCATTTTAGTTAAAAATTATAACAATGGAAAAAAAGAGAGCCATATACAAATATTGTGATACTACCTATATAGAATATTGTGATACTACCTATATAGCTCCACCTTTGTATGGCATAAGAAATTTGAAAAGGCATCTTTTCAAATATACGTCATATAAGATATGCATCTAGCAATCCCTTACAAATGTTGATTAACAATTTTAGAAAATTAGGTAAACAAAAGATAGATTTGGAAATGTTTAAGCATTAATTGTTATTCACCATGCATATCCTTTTTCTTGGGTTAAGCACAAGCATGTTAGAAATCTTCTTGTATACTTGAATGTGAATACAAAAGAAATTTGTAAGATATTGTCAAGAATCATTGCTTAAAATTACACAAAAGAGAAAAAGCTCAAATGAAAAAATGTTTGCAAAATCTTTGCGGAAAAATTTGTTTGCCTTGTGATATGTGGACTTTAGCAATAATTAAAGGTTATCTTGGTTTCACTGCACATTACATAGGTGAGAATTGGATTTTGAAAAGTAGGTTTTTGAGATTTTCTCATGTCGTTCCTCCACATATAGCTAAGATTTTACATAATACTGTTTTTGACTTGCTTAATGGTTTGGATACTCAAATTAAAATATTTTATGTCATTTTAGATAATTCTAGGTGTAATAACAATATGTAAGATCTTTTGTGTAATACCTTAAATTTTGAGCATTTCTTATCTTGTAATAGGGATTTTTTCCATGTTCGTTGTTGTACTCATGTGTTAAATTTGATTGTCCAAGAAGGTCTAAAAGTGATTGATGAGGGTGCCAAAAAGTTGAGGGAGGGTATAAAAATGTAACCAAATCTAAGGGAAGAAAGATAAGTTTTCGAGATTGTGCAAAGCATGTGAGTTGCAATATGAGTAAAGGCTTGTGGTTATATTGTCGACCTACATGAAATTCTACTCACATAATGCTAAAAGGAGAACTTTCATACTGGCAAGCCTTTATCAACTTTGCATTAGAGGAAAAGAACTTTGTTTGGTCGTTAGAACTAGAAGAATAGATTAGAGTGGAGTAGATTTGTCAACTTTTGGATCAATTTAGTGAGATAACAACTCTTTTTTCTAGTTCTCAATATCTAATAGCAAACTTGTTTTTCAAACATGTTTGGGCTATTGAATTGACTTTATGAGTAGAGATGGGAACTTGCGATCCATTTGTGAAGGTGATGGCGAAAAATATGAAGATTAAATTTGATAAGTATTAGAATTGTCATCGTTTAGTACTTGCTTTTGCTATAATTTTTTATCCTCAGTTCAAATTGGGTTATGCAAAATATTGTTACATGAAATTGAATTACGTTATGCAAAGTATTATTACATGAAATTGAATGAGACAACATACTTGTTAAAGTATGATAATGTAAAAAATTGTTTGAATAGCTTCTATAATGAATATTTACATAATGAGAATAAGGGTTTTGAAGCCACAAGAAATGCCTCTCACGATGATGTCAATTTCAAGAGTAGTTTAGTCTGTCATGAGGTGAGCATATTAATCCTTTTTTTTTTTTATCTTTTATTTATTTATTTACCATATAGATCAGATTTCCTTGTTACTGATTTGTTTTTTTCCTTTCATTTTTGTTGGAAAAGTGACCATTTGATTAATTTGTTTATTTAGTTTTAATCTTGATATCTTCAAAACTTTTTATACTTTATTTTCATGGTGAAATATGTTTTTGTTAGCTATAACAGATCTTAATAAGGATGGACGAGGGAATAAAAATTTAATGTAGAAATAAAAATAAAATGACCTTTGCTAAAGTTTATTATTTCAT